GCAAAGAATCGATCCCTTTTCAAAAGAATCGATCCCCTGTTAAAAAAGACCAATCCCTTTCAATAAAGGATTGATCCCTTCACTATTTTGATCATTGGAAAAAGTTGAAATTGCATTCATTAAAGGTCTGAAGTGTTCTTAAATTCTATTTTGACCCCTGAATGATTATGTGAGTTCAGTTTAACCCAGAAATTGATTTGTTTAATTACTTAAACTCTTAAATTAGAAATTTGATGAGATTTGAGTGATCACTTCTTAAAAACACTTAATTACATAATGTAACCCTCAATTGTATGTTACTGGTTGGTACATAAATTTTGTATATTTACGTTTAGGTCCTTAATCTTGTATGACCAATTTAGTGATTGTCTGATGTCCGATTGGTATGAAATTTTGAGTGTTGCTTCCTTATGACAATGTTTAACATGTTTTAACCTTAACTGGGTGATTTGACTTGTTAATTTATTATATGATGTGAAATGATTGAAATACCCCTAAACGTTTAAATGTAATGGTTGTATGTTTAATTGAGATTCAATTGCATGTTAGTTACATTTAACATTGTGTGTGACAAATATTAAAAAAATTTAACTTTTTTGCGTCTGTGAAATATGCGTAATATGGATCATGATCCGTCAAACATGATTGGAACCTAATATACGCTTAGGTATCTGGCTCATATTCCTGGACCGGGTATGGGGCGTTACAAAACAACAAACACCATAATCGTTAGGAAATCGTGAAACACTTAGAGATCTCTCCAGAGAAAGAGATGACTAAAATATCATTTAAGTGATAGTAAACATTTTCTTTACGTCCTAGGCGAGAGGAAGAGTGAGATAGTTCGGGTAAAGGGGAAATAACCTCACCTGGCTTTAATAAGTTCGGTAACGAGTAGCTGAGCTACTTCAGTCTCCTTAGTGTTGCATCAGTTAATGTGGGTTAAGACGTTCGCTCTAGAATAATGGTGCATTATAGGATGATTATGAGGTTAGAGACCTGGTGTAGGTTTACTCATGGCGAGGCTCTTAGTGGAAACTAAGGGAAGTATGAGACTTACATTCGAGAGGTAGAACAGGAGAACCTTAAGTATATAGCACTGCTTGGGATCATGCATGTACCTACTGCTTAGTATCACATCTCTAGCATGCTTTAGTTTATGAAATCCTTATGATGCTCTAGAATAATGGTTATACTATTAGTCTTTGTAAGCTCAACCTTCAGATGTTTTCCATTGGCAGGTTAGTGGCTTGAGCAGTTCGTGAAGCACCGTCGCTGCAGAACTTCTAGCATCTCCGAATAAGTTCTGTACTGTAGCTTTAGCGGGCATGTGTATTCATAGAACCTTACTTATGTATTTGAGTTATAAACTTAAGATGTATTATTGTGTTTTAAATTACATGTAACGGAACTCTAATTTTGTAAAATGTTTTATAATCATTATATATGTTTTATTCATGATACCATTAAGTATGTTTGAAAGAAAAATGAACAGGTTTTGAAAATCAGGGGTTGACTCGATAGCCCAATGTGGCACTTTAGGCCCAATTGGGTTTAGGGTGTTACAAACTGTGTTTCATCTACTTCAACCCAAATTCTATTTAATGGTTCTCTATGCATTCCTTTGTACCCTCTCGGGGTATTCGCAAAAGTGATCCGTTGTCCCATTACTTATTTGTGTTGTGTATGGAACGGTTGAGCCAAGCTATCAACAAGGCAGTTGGGGAAGGGCTATAGAAACCAATCCGGTTATCAAGGAATGGTCAGGCTTTATCACACCTATTTTTTGTAGATGACTTAATCTTGTTTGCGGAAGCATCAATACCCTAACGGGTAATTATTCATAGAATTTGACGGACTACTATAACAACTCTTGGCACAAAGTAAGTCTTTCCCCAAAACTAATATCTACTTCTCCAAGAATGTGGGTGAAGAAATCAGGGTGACGAATACTGATGGTTTCAGCTTTTCTCGGGTAGAAGATAAGGGTAAATATTTGGGCGTTCCTCTTTTACATCAGCGTGTTACAAAAGCGACTTATATATTCATTATCCGAAAAATCCGGGATAAATTATCTGGGTGGAAAGCAAAATTTTTATCAATTGTTGGACGAGTAGTTCTTGTCATATCGTTTTTGGAAGCCTTGCCTTCCTTGTCATGCAGACTTTTTTTCTTCCGAAAGGAGTTTATGATGAAATGGATAAGCTAATTCGTCAGTTTCTTTGGGGAGGTACGGAAGAAAATAAGAGTATTCATCTTGTGAATCGGGAGGATGTTAACCTACCGGAAGCAGATGGGGGCCTTGGTATTAAGAGGTTTCATGTTCAAAATGATGCTTTTTTAATGAAGGTTGCATTCCGTATTATCTCGAGTAGGGTGCAATTATGGGTTAGAGTTTTTCGTGGAAAGTACAAAATGAATGATATTGTTAGAGCAATTCTACGAGAGTGTGTGGTAGTGCGTGAGACGTGGAATAAAATAATTAAACCGAAGCGTATGGGATAATTCTTGCAACTTGACGTGGAAAGGTGGTAGAGGCGAACTTGAAGAAGAATTCTGGCTTCCCGATGGAATCGACTAAGTGGGAGATGTTGTATGGGAATATTGTCTGGTGCTTATGGAAGAGAATAAATTCTTTGATTTTTGACATAGAGTTTTCTTCCTTTGAAAGTATTTTTCATGAAAGCAGGAGATTAACTTTAGGTGTTGTTCGAGGGAGAGAGGCGAGGAAGAATGCCGTTGACGACCATGGTCTGACTATGGATAGATTCCGATGTTGGGAACAACCACCAGCTGAATGGGTTAAACTTAATATGGATGCATCACGACGTTTGGATTCCGGTTTAGCAACACGTGGAGGTATTCTCAAGAATCACGTAGGAGGATGGGTGGGGGGTTATATGAAGTTTATTGGTTGTTGTTCATCTTTGGATGCAGAGCTTTAGGGTTTGTTTGAGGGATTACAAATTGCATAGAACATGAGGATCAGGAATATTAAAGTTGAATCGGATTGTAAGGAAGCCGTGGATTTGTTGAATAATGTCCCAGAGTGAGAGGTGTTTCTTCGCTTCTTCCACATTTACGTGATATTTGCAACCGTAATTGGGAGGTTGGTTTCACTTCTGTGCCTCGAGAGTGCAACTCGGTAGTGGACAGACTTGCGAAAAGAGCGTGGAGTCATACAGTCGGCCTGGTGCTGGTGCAAGAGCCTCCGGAAGAGTGTCGAGAATTGCTGCTGGAAGCAACGATAGCTGTTTCTGATCAAGCTGCTCATGTGTACTCAAAAAAAAAAAAAAAAAATAACGTCAGTGACCGAAAATGCCTTATAATATACGATTTTAACCAATTTTTTTTGGATTTGCCAAAATGACCAACAAATTCGCAACGTGATCTCAAATTCGCAACGCGAATTCAAATTTCGTAATCTAGGTTCCAAATTCGCAACACGAAATTCAAATTCGCAACGCGAAAATTAAATTCGCAACGCGATTTTAAGATTCGCAACTCGATAGTCCAAAATCGCAACGCGATAGTCGAAATTCGCAACGCGATTTAAGATTCGCAACGCGATACTCCAAAATCGCAATGCATTTATTTCTTAAGAATTTTCTCTCCACGACGGGACGGGACGGGACGGACGGACGGCGACGACGGTGCGTAAGAGTCCCCCTTGTTCTCTTTCACTCAACAAGAAAGTGGGAAATTCAACCCTTAAATACCCATTTCCAATAGTGTTTCCAATACTATGTGGGATTGAGTATTACTAACACTTGTTTCCAATGCTAAGTTGAAACATTTAACATTTGGAAGTTAGAACACATTTAACCAAGTGAATATCTTTTCGATGGCCAAGATAATTAAGTGATATTTGTAATCGAGTTGGGAAAACTTGATTTGTTTTGCAATATTTAAGTGATATTTGTTTTTAACATAAGATCCTATTCCATTATTACGTGTCAGGATGTACACAACACATTGGGATTAATCAAATGTCTTTTGTGTTGGCTACATGGTGTGATGGCGACATCGTCGGGGGAACACGACGAAGTGCTTACTCTTACTTCACATCATCTCTTTTATCTTCTCTTAACCCAACTTTCGCCAAGTACATTGCCTTCTCAAGCATTGATTAAATGTGTTCCAACTTAATTATCTTGGCCACCGAAAGAATGTTCACTTGGTTAAATGTGTTCCAACTTCCAAATGTTAAATGTTAAATGTTTCAACTTAGCATTGGAAACAAGTGTTGGTAATACTCAATTCCACATAGTATTGGAAATACTATTGGGAATGGGTATTTAAGGCTTGGATTTCCCACTTCCTTGTTGAGTGAAAGAGAACAAGGGGGACTCTCGCGTTGCGAATTTGACATTCGCATTGCGAATTTGGAACCTGGGTTGTGAAATTTGAATTCGCGTTGCGAATTTGTTGGTCATTTTGGCAAATCCAAAAATAAATTGGTTAAAATCATATATTATAAGGTATTTTCGATCACTGAGATTATTTTCTCAAAAAAAAAATAGAGACGAGGACTTACACCAGAGTTGATATCACCCCTTATTAACTCAAGATGTAAAAAGGAGATTAACGGTGTTTATATATTATAATAACTTTTTAAATTAATGTAATAATTAGACATTAAATATTTTCTTAATGGTCTTAGACTTAAGCCATTTCATTTATACTTTAATTATTAATTAGTAAAATATGACATATCAACATGTTAATTCAACTTTTAATGATATAATAATTTAAATTTTAATATTTAAAAATTTAGTGGCTACCATTATAATCTTATTTTAAAAATACACTTTTACCTAAGATTTTAAAAATGGTAATATATAGAGAGATAAAAAGAGGAGTATACTGAAAGAGAGGCGGTGAGAGTTGAATTGAAATGATAATCGTTGGATAACCATGACGTAATATCATGACACGTTTACGGTTATTACTTAAGTTCTATCGTCCTTCTCCGTCAATAAATTCAAAGATCTTACTTCCCACAAACCCATTCGAGTCTTCTTCTTCTTCGTAGCATCTAATTTGTATAAAAATCTCATTCGAGTGAAAAATGTCTTGCTGTGGAGGAAACTGTGGATGTGGATCCTCTTGCAACTGCGGCTCCGGCTGTGGAGGGTAAAATTCATTTTCCCTTTCCAAACCGTTCATTTCCTTACTTTTTTCCATACAATTCTCAGTTTCAAAATGAAATTAAAAAAAAAAACTCTTTTCCATCAAGCCGTTGATTTTGGTTGTTGAATTTGTTTATACAGATGCAAGATGTACCCATGCATGACGGAAATGAGCTTTGTCGAGAAATCCACAACCGAGACTCTTGTTCTTGGCGTGGCTCCCCTGAAACCGTACGTATAACAAGGATCAAAAGAAGCGAAAATTTGGTTTTTTAAATCCTTTTTTCACTGTTTATTTGATTTTGATGCAGGCGCTTTGAGGGATCTGAGATGGGAGTTGGGGCTGAGAACGGGTGCAAGTGTGGAGACAGTTGCACCTGCAACCCCTGCAACTGTAAATGAGCGTAAGATTCAAGGAAGCAAGGAGAGCCCTCTCTCTTTTTAACAAATAAATCTTGTTTGTTTTCTGGGTTTATTAGAATAAAAGCAGCCATTGCTTCTAAGCAAAACTTCATTAGGGATTTGCTTGTAAAGGCCATGGTTGCTTGGCGTGTGTTCAGATATTATGATTTGCATCTATATTTTATGTATGGAAGTCGGTTTTCTAATGAACGAAAGGGAAGTTGCTCTGTCTTCCTCTTTGGTTAAAGATGTTTTTCTTGGGATCTTCAATGCCTTCTTTTTTCTGGGATTGCGTGGAAACGTAGAAAACGATGCTGTTTGGGGAATTGGATGACGACAAGGTTAGGTGGGGTGTTTTCATGACTACTACTTGGCAAACTTTTATTATCAAAATCAAATCACCCGAACTTTGAATTCTAACTGCACTAATAATAAGTCTCCACAATTTTAACTGCTACTCAGCAGTGACAGACCAACAGAAGGCATTATTTTATAAAAACCACCATAAATTATGTTCAAACTTTTTTAAACAGTAATTTCTTAATAGATTTATTTAAAAAATAATTCTTAATATTACCTCGTGTCTTATAAAACGTATTTAAGAGGATAGATTTATAAATTTTTTAGATAAAATTATTTAATTTTAGGTAAAAGTTATAATAAATGTATGAAATTTATGTTTTGTAAAAATTGAAATTTTATCTCATTTTCTAACTAACCTGTTAAGAGGGTTTTATTCAAAAAATAATTCATGAGGGCTTTTTTTAATATAATAACACCCCAACAGAATATACGATTTCAATAATATTTACTTCGGCCCCATCAATCATGTTGAGTATTTGGAATCCAGTATTTCTACTGGGGATATAAATGGAACGAAACAAATCAATGAATTATTCAAATTTGATTTAATTAAAGTATGATAAATTCTTGAATTGAATTCAAAAAATATGATTTAGTTAAAGTAATGTCAATTCTTAGATTGAATTCAATTTGAATTTAAACTTGATTCTAGTTCATAAGTCGAAATAAGTTATTTGATACATATTTTAATATATATATATATATATATATATAATTTTTTTAAAAAAAATAATTATTTATAATATTAACATTTATATGTTATTATTTTTTAAGTATAAGATTTTTACTACTTAAAGTTTATGTTTACATTTGAGTTTGAATTTTAACCGAGCTTAAATTTTAGCTTCAATTGAGTTAAGTCTAAAAATATTTTAGGTACAAGTTTTCTCGAACTAGAGTCAAGTTTTAAAATTTTAAATTTAAGAGTTTTTGAATTAAGCTTCAATTTTTAATTTCGAGTCGAGTTTGATAATTCTAAGCTTATAAGCTTTCGAGTCAAGTCGAACCGAATTTAACTTTAATTTTTTTATTGAACTCGAATTCAATAATGCTCAAACTCAATCTAACTCTTTTACACCCATGGGTCATATTATCTAAATGGTATCTTAGGATAGATTTCAATATTCGAGCCAACTTGTTTTATCTAAAGGACGTCAATAATTGTTAAAGAGTATTTGTGGATAAAAATAAGCGTAAATTATACTTTTAGTACTTAAACTATCACCTTTTGTCCATTTTAATAACTGAACTTTCAATTTTCTCATAATCATACTTAAAGTTCAATTTTAGTTTCATTTTAGTACTCGTTCAAAATTTAACGCTAGGTTTAGAAAAAAATTGAAAGTTTAGGTACTAAAATGGACCAAAATTGATAGTTTAGGTACTAAACACATTAAGTTTTTAATTATGGGTACTAAAATGAAATAAAACTAAACATCATGTGTGATTTTAAAAAATTGAAAGTTTAGGTACTAAAATAGACCAAAATTGATAGTTCATATACTAAATGTATAGTTTACTCTAAAAATAAATAAGGTACATAAACTATCAATTTTGTTTCATTTTAGTACCTAAACTTTCATTTCTTTCAAAATCATACCTAATATTTACTTTTTGTTTCATTTTAGTACCCATTGTTAAAAACTTAACGACACTACATTATTATGGATAAATTACATTATTCATCATTCAACTATCTTTTCACTCCTATTTTATAGTCACTAAAGTTTAAAAAATTTCTATTTAACTACACAACTTTCAAATTGATCTTGTTTTAATCACTCTAATTTATTTTATTAATATTTTTTATGATGTGACTTTTTTTTTATTATTTTATTAATATATACTTAAATTTAAAAAAAATTGAAATTTAGAGCGATTAAATTAGGAGTAATTTAAAAGTTAAATAATTAAATTTAGCCATAAAAAAGTGTTACATGCAACAATTCCGTTAAGTTTTTAACAATGAGATACCAAAATGAAACAAAAGGTAAACAATAAGTATGATTTTGAAACAAAAGAAAGTTTAGGTACTAAAATGAAACAGAATTCATACTAAATATGTAGTTTACTCAAATAAATAATACGATAAGAAGATAAATTAATTATATTTGTAACACCCCAAATTTTGGGCTAGTAGTTTCGGGTATAATCGAGAAGTAAATGGACCCCGTAAAAATTATAATTCAAGTCGTTGGGCTTAATTTGGATGGTCTTGGGCCTAATTAGCTATAAAGAGGGATTTTTGCATATTAGAAAGATGAATAGAGACCAGTAACGTAATTAACCCATTTTTAAAATGTGGAGGCTTTATTATCCCTTCATCTCCTACTTCTTTTCATTTTTTCCTCTTTCTATCTTCCATCTTGTTCCTCTCCAAGTCATAACAAAGAAAAAGAGGGGTTTTACATCCAAGTCAAGGTAAAGGATGATTTCTAGCTAAAGAAGCTTAATTTCAGGATTCAATCAGTAATTTCTAGCTAAAGAAGCTTAATTTCAGGATTCAATCAGTAAGGTAGTGTATTTCTAATCATTTGGAGTATTAAGATTCCATAAATTTCAAGTATTTGCTAAGATTTGAGTAGATGAGTATATTAGAGTTTAAACTTGATTTCAAGATTTAATCATGCTTTAGGTGTTAAGAATGTGTTTTTACTTAAGGACCCTAAATAACTTACTAGAACTTTAGAATCAGTTTAAGAACCAACCCAAATCTTGTAGGATGATTTTGGGTGTTTACCCGAGCCTAAAATATTAGTTTTCTGTGTTTGAGTATCGATATTGGGATAAACAATATCGATATCCCTTCATTCTCGAGACTGAAAATGTTGGTCTAGAGATCGGTCCCTAATTTCAGCATTAGAATATGTTTTTGGTACATATACTCATAAGGGTATCGATGCTTAACCCCAGGGTATCAATACTACAGTTAGAGTATCGATACTACCCACATTAGATGATCAGATTTGACTCGATTAAGGTCCGTAAAAGCTTGGAGTGGTTTATAAGGATAAAGCTTAGTCCATGAAGGACGTAAATGGCCAAAAGAGCCCAGAGACACTCGTATGAGTGGGTTACAACCAGTATAACCATAGCAAGTGTATTACGTCCAAGTATCTTCAGTAAGCATGTATCATACAGATATAGATAAAGGATTGGTGCATTGGATGTACCGACAGAAGGTACGATCAAGTAATCAGATTAGGAGATACTAGTGTCGTATATCGTATGAACGACCAATAGTGTTGGATACATAATTATTTCTTTAATTCGATGGTGAATTGAGGGAAAGTGTAGGGTTAACGAACAGAGCATCGCTACCAAAAAATGAACCCATGTCAGATACCGAGTCAATTAGAACCCTAGCCAGTAAGCAGTAAACTTTGAAATCTCTATGAAGTCTCGAATTGCGTAAAGACTTCCAGAGTCAGAAAACAACTAAAATATCCTTAAGTAGCGTATAACCAGATCATTACATATCATCAGAAATACCAGACTAGTAATTCCTCGCATAACATTCTATATTAAAGAACGAGCGAGTAAACGGCTAGAGTGAGTTGTAAACAAAATCAGTAATAACTCATTAACAACTAGAACATTAATAGTAACATTTAAAAACAATATCAGTTAAAATATCATAAAACTAGCCTTTGTGTGACACTTAGGAAAAAACATGATACCCGAGTTACTTTAGCAATAGGGCGATTGTATTATTTGTCAAACTGTTCAATATTCATCAGTCAGTGGATATCTAGTTAGTTTTACGACACTTCTTTTTCCAGCTGAGTGTAGATATCCCAGGACACGACGAAGTGAGTTGGCAGTTGTACATTTTTTATGCAGAATTTTGAATCTCACCCAGGTGTAATTCTAATATACCGACAGTACTAGAGGGGTAAGTGAGCTCCAAGATACAGAATCCCTCAATCGCACCATGATGCCAACCACATACGTATCTGGTAGATTATAAGGGTGTGTGAGCTTCGAGATGCAGAATCCCTCAGCCACACCATGATGCTTACTTGAGCTAGTATATAAGTCACAACAGAGTCAATATTACACTCAGATAATGCACACCAGAGTTAGCATGGCATTTAGATAATGCATAGTAGAGCCAATACCACATATAGATAATATATAGTATATTCAGACATTAGGGTTTGAGATCCCTGCTTTAAAGATATGATAGCTAAGTTGTAAGTAGATAGCACTTTACTAGATTATGCATATACATACTGCCTAGTATCATGTCTCCGACATGCTTGGGTTTATGAATTCTTATGCTACACTAGATTAGCGATTATACTGATGGGCTTTGTAAGCTCAGCCTTCGGATGTTTTTCGTTGGCAAATTAGTATCATGAGAAATTCATGGAGCACCGTCGTAGCGGGACTTCTAGCATCCCCGTCAGAGTATTGTACTGTAGCTTAGTGGGCATATGTATTCATAGTACTTTACTTATATATTCAACTATTAAAATTGTAGTTATATTATTTGATTTTAAATTATGTGTCACGGAGATCCAGTTTTGTAAAACATTTTATAACAATTAGTTGTGTTTAAATTATGATAATATTCAACTTGTTTAAAGAAAAACAAATGTACAGATTTGAAAATCAAAAGTTTCTTTGGTAGCCTAATGTGGTGTTTTAGGCCCAAATCGGGTATAGGGTGTTACATTTAGTGGTATCAAAGCATCAGGTTGAGTCAGTCTTAGGACCCAATGGTCAATATTAGTAAAGTGTTAGTGAATACATGCCCCTAGGTATTGAAAATATTTATATAAGTTTGGAATCATGTTGGTGCTTCCTTCCTTAGCCTATGTTGTACAAATTACAATGGTAGACATATTTGAACGTAATTC